GGACTAAGTAGATCTGTTCAGCGAAATTTTCTGCGGCTTGGTCTCACATGGATCCAACTCGCAGACCCAACTCGCAGCACAGCAACACTTAGCGTATTTCTTACTCAAATTTCTTGCTGCTAGGTGAATAACCCGCAGACCCAAGTAGGTTTAAACAGCGAGTTCTTATGCGAGTTGGTATATAGCCTGACTGAGCCGCACACCCAAGTAGCACAGAGGCATCCATCAAGTTTTCATCCCTTAAACCCTTTTCTCAGCCTTCTCACATGCTACATTCCTTTTCGTCACTGAGCCATAGCCTCCAAAAGTTACCTGGGACCTGAGAACACCTCACAAAACCCATCAAAAGATCATAAAGCATAAAAAGAAAGAAAAGAAAAGATTAAAAGAACTATGTACAAGGATAAGCTTGGGGTGTCTCCCAAGAGCACTTTGTTTAAAGTCACTAAGTTTGACTTTGCAAAACCTGTTCTTAGTTGGGGTGAGGAGGAGCACTGATGCTCTTTAGCATCTCAATGGTCTTGAGCATGAAAGCTGAGGTTGGCTGCCTTTGATAACCATTAGACCCTTGTCCTTGATGTCCCATCTTGAGGCCTTTGTTCACCAGCTCCTGAATACCATCTGGGTCCTTATCAAGTATTACCATTGTGAGACCTGCCCTGACCTCAGAAAACAGTCCTGATTTCCCATTGCAATCTAGCTTATACTTCAGAGATCCATCATCATCAGCCCAAGGATTCAGAGTAAAGGCTTGAGAAGAAGGATCAGGTTCAATGCTCTTGTCTGTTGATGTTGAGCCATCACTCATGGTGTTCACAATCTTTAGATCATCAAGTGTAGAAGACCATGAGAGCAAGATGTCTTCTTCTCTGATCAATGGCCCTCCATTCTCATACTTATAACCATTGGGGTGAGGGTCTTTCTCCTTTTCCAAAGCTTAAAGAGAGAGGGATCCCCCTAGAATTCCAGCAGTGCCCACATACTTCATCTCAAGTACCTTAGGCGGTTGTATCTCTTGAACAACTGATCCACAAAATTCAGCCAAATGAGGTGTAATAGGGTAAGAGACATCCTTATCCACCTTTGAAAGCACCACTCTTTGAATATCAAAGTCAATCACTGCACCAGTGGTGTTGAGAAATGAAGTTCCAAGCAAAAGGGGGAGCTCTTTGGTCTTCTTCATCTTCATGATTACAAAATCAGTGGGGAAGATACATTCACCAACCTGTAGTGGATAGTCTTCTAAGAGCCCATACGGTTTCTTGGAGTAGGAATCTCCGAAGGTGATAGAAGAAGGGTAGGACTTTAGAGACTTGACCCTTAACTTCTCCATCATGTCCTTAGACATTATACTCACATTTGAGCCTGAATCACACAAAGCATTCTCAACTCTAAAGTTTCCCAGAGTGCAAGATATGGTAAACTTTCCTGGATTACCCAACGTGGGAAGTGAGGTGGGCTTCATTATTACTGAATCAAGGCTGGAGGTTCCATCTTGGGGGGTTTCTTGATCTGTACCATCAGAAACCTTCTTGTTCCTAGCAAAACAAACTGCCTCCCCACCTTTTTTCTCAATGTCCTCATTGAGATCAGAGAACATGTTCACAAAGTCCTCTATAATGGCGTATTTTTCCTCATTGGCGGATGCTAATTCATCAGAGACTTGACCATAAAGGAGGTATTCAATCTCTGTAACAGCAGCTGAGTGATCATCATCAGAGTAGATGGCATTGCAATAGTCTTTGGGGTTTTGAATAGCTTTGCCAGGAAGAGAGCCTTGAGTTTCAGTAGTGGAGATGCCTTTGTTTTTCTGCAGAGTCCTGAGTTTAGAGCCAAGTATCTCCATCTTAGAAATCAGGTCATGACACTTGGATTCCATCTTTTGTTGTCCTTGTAAGAGCTGTTGGAGAACAACATTGAGATCAGTACCTTGTTGAACTAGTGGTGGACCAAATCCGGGAGGTGGTGGCCTTTGTTGCTGGAAGCTGAGTTGGTTATTGAAGTTATTCCCTTGTTGCTGAGCTGTTGGCTGCTAAAAAGCTTGGTGACCTTGGAAGTTACCTTGGAACTGATTCCTTTGAACAAAGCCTTGTTAACCTTGTTGAGGAGGGTATACCTGATCTTGGGGATTGGCTACATTGGTGCTTCTATAAGACAAGTTCTGGCTCTTGTTGAAGTTGTTGTAACCTTGAAACTTGTTCTGATTCCCTATGTAGTTCAGCTCCTCTTGTGTTAAACCCTCTTCATTGATGTTCTCAAATTCACCAACATAATGGATTGGTTTTTGAGAAATCATCTTCAGCTTGGTAAGTTCACTTTTCAGCTCTTTAACCTCTCTAGTAAGCCTTTGATCTGAGCTTGAACCCTCTGATTTGTTTATCCTGTCATAACCCTCACCATACGTGTCATTAGACATGGGCAAATCCTCTATACAGTGTAGAAAGTAGAGAAGCATCAGAAAAACCATGGTGTGGACACTGATTGGTGTAGCTTCTAAACCTCTCTCAAGCTTCCCCAAAGCTTTCATTGTTATGTTGCTTGAAGCTTGAAATTTGTTTTCTCAGCTTAGCTGTCCTAGAAGTAGAGAAGAACTTGAATAAAAAGGCAAGCTTGCACTGCTCCCAAGTCTGTATGGAGCCTCTAGGCAGGTTCTTCTTCCATTGGTGTGCCTTGTGTCCTAGACTGAATGGGAAAAGCCTAAGCTTGAAGCTATCTTCAGAGACACCATTGATTTTGGTGAGGTCACAAACTCTGTCAAACTGGTCTAGGTGCTCCAAAGGATCCTCCATTGGCAAGCCATGAAATTTGGACTTTTGAACCATGTTGAGCAAGGAAGCCTTCACATCAAAATTGTTATTCTGAACTGGTGGTGCTTGGATTCCTGCTCTATGCTGGTGTGCATTGGCTCTATCATTTTCCCTAACAAACACTGGTTGAGGATCTTGTCTCCTTTGAGCTTGATGCTTAGAAATGAAGTGAGCCTGCTGCTCATTCCTATGAGCCTGCTGCTGATTCTGCTGAGTCTGTCTGTCATTCCTTTGTGCCATGTTTATATTGATAAAGGCTTGCTGCTCATTTCTCTCAGCTTGAGCCTGATTCCTTTGAGCTCCATTACCATGCTGAGCCTGTTGCTCTTCTTGAACCTGGTGCTCAATGTCAACCACCTCGTACTCCCTTTGTTGCTCCATATCAGCTGCTCTATCAGTTTCCCTTGCCCGTCTATCTGTTCTTCTTCTTGGCACTAAGAGATTGATGTTGTTGTTCAAAGGAAATGGTGGACCACAACTTCTAGACCTTGATCTGGTATTAATACACCTGAAAAACAAAGACAGAACTTGCAAAGTGATAAGTAAAACAAAAGGAAAAGACTTGATCTCAAGAACAGATCAAAACCTAATGCTAAACAATCCACAATATGGCAACGGCGCCAATTGATAGACAAGAGTTTTTAGGCTCTGAGGGCTATCAATCCCTTTAATCAATGTAGTATAAAGGGTGTCAAACCAAGCATGGGGAAGCTAGACACTAGACTCTATGAACTGTTTCTTAATTCAAGTAAACAAGTGAGGTTTTGATTAAACTAATGACTACTAAAGACTTAAACAAGATTAATGACTAAGAAAATAATCAAAACAAGTAGCAAATGACAAATGATATTGATATGAAATGATGGAAGCATGAGATTCTAGACATGATAGCTGGTTAGGGTGCTTTGGTGCTAAACTAGAAATGCTAATGACAATGATGAAACATGATTCAAATGATTTAGAACTCTAATCAAGCCTTAATCTTTCCCAAGCATCAAGACACAAATCAAGTTATTTCACATACCCAATCATCATTGGAGATCAAACAACAAGACAGCATTAAGAATCAGTCCTAAGTGATCATTTATGCAAATAACAAAACATCATCATGTGGTTAATGCAAAAACCTCTAATATAGCTTGTTGGGGTCGGTTTCACCCCAAGCGGATAAAACCATCTCAAAGATGACTAAGTATTGGAGAAAACCGATTTGGCAAGAAGGAACAGCAGCCAACCGAATATGAGCCAAGCTGTCCCACGAAACAAGTGGGCCGAGCTGTGCTCACCAAGACGAGTGGACCGAGCCGTGGAAAAGGATAGATGGGCCGAGCCGTGAGAAGAACAAAGAGTGGGCTGAGCTGCACAAGAGGAAGCATGGGCCGAGCCGCTTTCCTTTGTGTTGGGCCGAGCCAGTTTTTCCAGACAGGCAGAGCCGAAGTCTCGAAGGGCGAAAGCCCATAAAAACCCTAGGCGAGGCATTGTGACGGTGGCCGCACGAAGCAATAAGGAAATATTCCGAAAATCTCTCCCGAGATTCTCGGCTAGGCGGTTTAGAAAGTTAGTATAAATAGACAATGTATGCAATTCATTCTGTAACTTTACACAACTCGAGAGCAATAAGACTTAAACACTTTTCAAGCAAAAAACCTTCTTTTGATCTTACTGTTCTCACGATTACCCTAGATATTTCGGATCCCTTAGTTTTTCCTTACAAATCTTTGGTTGTGCGAGTTTTGGCTCACACAATTTGGCGCCGTCTGTTGGGACTCGAAATTTTCTTACTCTAAATCGACGAGACTTTAAGATCCGAAGAACATGGCGAGCAACACCCTCGACGATAACAACAACAACAACAACGATAACGGCGCGGAGAAGGACGCTCCATCATCAGGCACAACGTCGGCGACGACCGAAACCCAAGAGGAGATGCGAAACACGATGGCTACGTTGATGAAGAAGATCGACGAGCAGGACAAAAGAAACGAGGCGATTACAGAGAGGCTCGACGTGAGGGCGGCCGAGGAACGACACCCAACTTGGAGACCCGGAATCTCCGACCCGATAGATGGAGTCCGGAGACGCTTCGATTTCTCAACGCCTGCAGAGGCCTCGGGAGACGGCGCAAGAAATCCCTTGGCTCCACCAATGTTTCGTCCTCTCGGCGAACAGAGTCCCGCGGCAACCCGAGTCAACATGACCGAGCCGCCTCCACTCCGTCGGAACTCAAGGCGACGAGCCGGCGAAGAGGAGAATGACGCGATCGACCTGGATGCCCAACAGAATGATGGAGCCACAAACTCGCAACAAAACGGCTCGGCTCGGCGAATAAGCCAAAAGGAGCTCGCCTCGGCATTAAACGGCGTCCGGACTGACGAAAGCACCGATCCGGCTCGCGGCGACAACCTGACTGAAGAAGAAGAAAACCTCCAATGGATCGAGCAGGCGGAACGCGAAGATGAGCCGAGGAGAAAAGAGCGGGAGCGACTCCCCCAATCAAAGGGAATGACACACGCGCAAACCCTCGAAATCAAAGAGCTGCGAGCCTCAATGGCTCGGACAGTAGCCGAGATACGCGCCATGAAGTCTCAAGTGCATAACGCGACGAGTGCTGCGCTCGAGATCAATCAGATGCTTGAAGAAACCCAGAGAACACCATTCACGGCGAGAATCACGGAGGCTAGGATTCCCGAGCCAGGGAAGGTGAGAATCCTGTTTTATAAAGTAACGACCGATCCGAAAGCGCACATCACGGCGTTTCGGATAGCGATGGGACGAGCTTTAACAAAGATCGCTGTCAAACTGACCGAGCGGGAAGTAGATGCCGGATATTGTTTGCTCTTCGTGGAACATCTCAAGGGAGCCGCGCTCGAGTGGTTTTCGAGGCAGGAGCGCAATTCAATCGGCAGTTTCCAACAGCTCTCCGCCTTGTTCCTTAAACAATACTCGATGTTTATGGACAGAGGAACTTCTGATGCTGACCTGTGGATGCTATCCCAAGGACCGAATGAACCACTTCGGGATTACATGGCAAGGTTCAAGGCGGTCGTATCCAAAATAGAAGGAATACGCGACAAGGCTGCACTCGAAGCTCTGAAACGGTCTTTGTGGTACAAATCCGAATTCCGACGGGAGATGGCACTCAACACGCCACAAACGATTCAAGATGCCTTGCATCGGTCATCAGACTTCATCGTAAACGAGGAAGAGATGAAAAATCTGGACGAGCAGTACGAAGCAACGAAAGCAGCGATCCGAAGCTCAATTTTGACGCGCCCCACGAAGAAAGGCAATCCATCAAACAACGCAACAACGCAGAACTCGGACGAACCTAGTAGCGGAGGTGCCCATAACTACTAAGTAGGCACTAGACGCGGAAGAGGAGAGCCGCGCAACAACACTTGGGTTAGAAAGCCCACCAACTACGACGAAAAGGCATTCTGCGAGTATCACCAGACCTACGGGCATTCAACGGCACAATGCCGAACTCTAGGAGCAAAACTCGTGGCTAAGATGGCGGCGGGAGAGCTCCAGAATGCGGTTAACCTCAAAGACCTCGTCCCTAATGAACCAAAAGAAGGAGCCGAGCCAAGCGTCGCAGCAGAACCCGCAAATCTTCCCCGACGGGCGATAACACCAAGCGCGACAGGAGAGGCGAACCCGAAGAGCGACCCGAGCAGAGGCAAAGGATCAACATGATCATGGGTGGATCTCAATATTACCAAGACACGGTGTCCTCCATCAAAGCTTATCAGCGCCGAGCCGAAGCGAAGGAAAATTGGACAGAACCGACCGATCTCCTGAATACAGTGATCTCCTTCGCCTAGGAGGAAACGGCAGGAGCCGATAGACCACATAACGATCCACTGGTGATCGAATTGACAATCAGGGATCACGATGTAGCGAGGGTGCTCATCGATACTGGTAGCTCGGTATACGTCATTTTCAGGGAAACACTCAGAAGGATGGGAATCGATCTCTCCGAGGTGACAGCAATCCCCAAGCCTCTAACCGGATTTTCCGGAGAAACGACAATGACTATGGGAACAATTAGGCTTCCTGTGGTAGCTTGCAGAGTCACTAGGATCGTCGAATTCTGCGTCACAGATCACCCAGCAATCTACAATGTGATTATGGGAACTCCATGGATCAACGCGATGAGGGCGGTCCCTTTCACCTATCACCTCTGCCTCAAATTCCCTACTACGACAGGCATCAAAACGATCTGGGGAAATCAGAAGGAGTCACGAATGTGCTGCTTAGCAGAGCACAAGCTGAGGAACCCCGTCACTGACGCACGAGCAGACAGATCGCAAAAAGATGAAGGCGGACCGAGACCCCGCGAACGAGCTCTCGAAACTCTTATAGCAATTACAGATCGCGGAGAGCCGCGAAACGCGCGCCGAGCCGGTATGTGATGCAGTGGACTCGGTGTGCATAGACGAAACACGTCCAGAACGATGCTTCGAAAACGGAGCAAAATTAGAAGAGCCTCTGAGAAGCAAACTTCTCTCCCTCCTCAAAGAGAACATCAACACTTTCGCCTGGACTGCGGAAGATATGTCGGACATAAGCATCGACGTGACCTGTCACGAGCTGAATGTAGACCCAACTTTCAAACCAATCAAGCAAAAAAGAAGGAAGCTCGGACCCAAACGAGCCAAAGCGGCCAACTATTCACCAACATACCGAGCTGCTGTCATCGATCTCGTCACCTTATCCTTTCATGAGATGGTCAATGGATATTGTCGGACCTCTACATCGATCAAAGCAAAAGCGCGTTCTGCTCGTCCTCACGAATTATTTTTCTAAGTGGGTCGAGGCCGATTCTTACGCGAGCATAAAGGATGCTCAAGTTGAACACTTCGTCTGGAAAAATATCATCTGCAGACACGGGGTCCCCTACGAGATAGTCACCGATAACAGATCCCAGTTTATCTCAACGCGTTTCGAAGCTTTCTGCGAGAAATGGAAAATCCGTTTGAGCAAATCTATGCCAAGATATCCTCAGGGGAACGGACAAGCCGAAGAAGGCAACAAGACGATCCTAGACGGTCTGAAAAAGAGGCTCGACGCCAAGAAAGGATGATGGCCAGATGAGCTTGAAGGAGTCCTTTGGTCGCATCGGACAACTCCGCGCCGAGCCACCGGAGAAACTCCATTCGCTCTAGTCTATGGAGCGGAATGCGTAATCCCCCCCGAGGTGGATTTCCCAGGTATTCGACGAAGACTTCTGCCGGGACAAGAAGGCTTGAATCACTTAATGATGCTGGACGAACTCGATTTGTTCAACGAAAGGTGCGACCACGCCCTAATCCGAATTCAGAACTACCAACAAGCAACGGCGAGATACTACAACAAAAATGTGCGCAGTCGAAGATTTACAGAAGGAGAGCTCGTCCTTCGAAAATTTTTCCAAAACACTGCCGAGAAGAATGCAGGAAAGCTCGGAGCAAACTGGGAAGGTCCTTACCAGATTACAAAAGTAGTTCGCCCAGGAGTCTACGAACTTGCGACGGTAGCTTACGAAGCAATTTCAAGATCGTGGAATGCAATGCACCTGAAGAAGTATTATCACTAAGGCTACAACACGGTCAACATGAACTACGGGACGGCTTGCTCCCTGCAAAGGGTACATAGGCAGCCCGTCCTCGGACGGGTTCAGCTGTCCCCCCTCCTAAAAGGGGGGGGAGTGGGTACGTATACACATACCTTCATTTAACTCTACAATTTAAGCTCATTTACAGTCTCTAGGAACATTGCCACTTCAGCCAATTTTCTGTTCGTTTTAAACTAGCTACTTATTTCATGTTCACCTCGGAATTCTAATTCGTTCATTGTCGCTTCGGCTAGTTTCTCATTACTTATTTCATGTTCGCCTCGGATTTTTAATTCGTTCATTCATCACTTCGACAAATTATCGTGACTTAACCACCTTGGAATTTTACTTGGCCTTGTATCCACTTCGGCAAACTAAGTCTCCAAACACCTCGCCTCGTTGCTGGCCATAGCAAGGCAACAGTCACAAAGTTCTCTAAATGGACTTTTAACCACCTTTCCTAGGACGAGGGTGCAAGTTACATCCTCCATGGATTAAAGTCCATCGCGCTATACAAATTTAAGACCAAAACGTATCGGTCACTACGGTTCGTCATCGTACACGAGATTATAAGTCGAGACTACATCGCTTTCTCTAAAACCGGAATGAACCCTTACAACCCGGCTAAACACATTCACCCCCTCGGGAACGCCGGTCTATAATTAAACTTTGATATCGTCTCAGGACATAGACCTCGGCAACAAGAGATCCAAACTTAGCGCTTCAAACGGCCAAAGATCAAATCCGATCTGAAATGCCTCGCACTTTTTCTCTCTTTCCTAACTCAAACGCCTCGGCACTAACGATGGAAGGCACAAAGGAACTTTAGTTTCTTTTAAGAGCAACCTAAAACGAAGACGCTCTACGAATCAACTCCAAGCTCGGGATTTATACTTAAAACAGAATCCTTAACAACTTATCCCTTAGCCCGTTTTTCTATCGATCTTTCATAAACAGTTTGGTCAGGGAAGCAATCGACAGCATTCCCGACACAGCTCGATAACGATAACTCGTCCCAAACAAACAGTTTTCGTCAAAAAAATTCAATCAAGAACAAACGCATCAAATCCACCAAAAAAAAAAAGATGAATATAACCATAGCCAAATCATCCAAATCCATCCAGGCATCAGTTACATAAAAAGTTCGAGAAACGGATAAAGTCATCCAAATCTTAAGTACAAAAACATATAAGACGGAAGATATAAGGGAAGGAGGTTCGAGAGGGCTGGCGTACCCGCATTCGATCCGGTCGGATCTACGACACCCAAGTTGGCCGCTGTCTCTTTGAAGACGAAGAGTTAACAGGAACTCCGGCAAGAATGGCTCGTGCTCTTTCCACTCTCTCGAATGTAAAATGCTTCCTCCAATTAACTCTCCGAGCCGCAAGAGAATCTCGGACAACAAAGAGGTCGTCGGGAATTGGGCGAAGAATGTTCCGAACTGCAAAAACAACACAAAAAAATTCAAAAAGGGAAGATCATACGATAACAGTTCCGAGCCGAGGCAAAGCTTCAGATTGGCTACCAAGTGGTCCCCAAGCGGTCTTGGTTTTTTTAACGTAATCCTCGCCGACTGACGCCTCGTTCACCAAGACATAGAAGAAGCGCTCGGTCCAAAACTGATCCTTACTTGGAAAACCACCTATGATCCGGCGGTTGGGCTTGTTGGAGCTTTTCTGATCTCCAACAAGATTAGCAGGTGATTCAGTTCAATATCGAGCCCGCATTCAAAACTTCGAACCAGAATACTGATTATGTGCCGCAGAGCCCTCGGCATGATCTGCCCGATCGAGATCCCATGTTTCAGAGGTACTCAAGGATAACTCCAGGGATCGGGAACCAGAGAAAACAAAGCTCAAAGAACGCCTCGTACAAAGTAAAGTGATTCTCAGGGATTTTGTCGGCTCGGTCATTCTTCTCTGGAAGGACGAATTCTACCACCTCGATATCCCGAAACGACATATCAACGCCTCGAGTGAGTCAGGGGAGGAGAGCGTAAAGCCAGGCGGGTCAGGTTTTTGTCTTTTCACTCGTTTCCCTCGCCCAGATGAAGAAGCACCTCGGGACGCCATGAGACGTTCTAATTCACGCTTCGCCTCGAATATATTAAACGGAAACGCTTCCTCCTCGGCTTTCACTGCGGCATCATTAACATCTTTGTCGAGAACGGGACCCTGAGGGCGGCTCGTCGAAACCGACGGCTCGTCATCTGGAGAGCGAGCGCCTGACGGACTTGAACGATTCGACGCCTCGTTGCTTTCGGATGAACGGTTGAAAGGGCTCGGCGAGATAGACGCCTCGGAGGATCCTGTTACACCTCTCGCCTCGGCGTCTAAACAGCTCGGCCCGTAGTTAAAGAGTAAATCTAATGAATCATTGGAATGGTTCGACATGATTTACAGCTGGAACGGAAAATACAATTCTACGCGACCAACTTTCGTCGGAAAAAGATCTGAGGCGGCGGAGACTTCGGAACCCTAGCCGGAAAATAAATAAACTAGAGAGAGAAAGAAGAGAGAAGGGAGAGCTACCTTTTAGTGAAAACGAATGGATCTGAAGATTATGAGAAGGAATGAAGGAGCTCACCTATTTATAGGAAAACCGAAGCGCGTGAAGTCCGCGTGGACCTCGGGATGGTGCAAAGATGTTCAATGGGGGCGCGTGAAGTCTGCGGCGAATGCGTAACCTCTTGGCGCGTCCGTCGTTTATTCGGCTCGGCATAACTTTCACAAAATGCCTCATCGTTTATTCGGCTCGGCATAACTTTCACGAAACGCCTCGTCGTTTATTCGGCCCGGCATAACTTTCACAAAGTGTCTCGTCGTTTATTCGGCTCATAACTTTCACAAGTCGCCTCGTGTACAATCCTTTTCCTAAGGATATCTCGCCAAAAAGCACAGATTGCGCCGCGCCTCATCGTTAACAAAACGGCTCGGCATTATCTTTTATCTTGAAACGCCTCGTCGCTAAACATAGCTCGGCACTACGTAAACGCCACGTCGTTGAAAACAGCTCGGCGCTATCTTTGTCAAAGTAACCTCATATTTTGAACGGCTCGGCATTTTCCTTCAAACAGCCTCGTAAAAAAAACAGCTTGCTATTATGCTTCGTCGAAGAACGGCTCGGCATTTTTATTCCCAAAACGCCTCACCTGGAATTGTTTCGCAACGGCCTAATTCGATGGTTTATCCCATGTCCAGGAGCAATGAACCTCGTCACTCTCATCTCCGAAACTGACGAGCTGGGGGGCTAACTGTTGGGGTCGGTTTCACCCCAAGCGGATAAAACCATCTCAAAGATGACTAAGTATTGGAGAAAACCGATTTGGCAAGAAGGAACAGCTGCCCACCGAATATGGGCCGGAGCTGTGCTCACCAAGACGAGTGGACCGAGCCGTGGAATAGGATATATGGGCCGAGCTGCGCAAGAGGAAGCATGGGCCGAGCCGCTTTCCTTTGTGTTGGGCCGAGCCAGTGTTCCCAGACGGGCCGAGCCGAAGTCTCGAAGGGCGAAAGCCCATAAAAACCCTAGGCGAGGCATTGTGACAGTGGCCGCACGAAGCGATAAGGAAATATTCCGAAAATCTCTCCCGAGATTCTCGGCTAGGCGGTTTAGAAAGTTAGTATAAATAGACAATGTATGCAATTCATTCTGTAACTTTTCACAACTCGAGAGCAATAAGACTTAAACACTTTTCAAGCAAAAAACATTCTTTTCATCTTATTGTTCTCACGATTACCCTAGAAATTTCGGATCCCTTAGTTTTTCCTTATAAATCTTTGGTTGTGCGAGTTTTGGCTCACACATAGCTCTTTCAGG